GTAATCAACTGAAGCCCTTATGATTAATCCATTATTTTTTTTTATATTCGTCTTTTCTTGCCTACCCACGTTTACAGTTCCTTTTAACTGAGCTTATTTATAATAGCATGTTTCTATTTTCATGGCTTACTGACTCCCATACTAAGGACAATAATCTGATAGGTAGCCTATTAAAGTAATCCTTTTTAACCAGAATGTGGAACATACCATGAAAATAACTATCTGTTTTTCGTTATGTTTTCAAGTAGGTAGCATGCATATATAAGCCTGCAACCATCCTGCTAAAGTATATAGCTTGCTCGCAATCGCCATTCGCCAATGTAATGCACATTTTTCAATAAGTTGTGAAACTGTGAGAATATTTTACACCTTTTCTTCCAGAGAGGGGAGGGAAGCTTCCAGTTTGGGGAGGGGGGGGAGGAAAAAAAGAAAGTGAAAAAAAAACTGCTGAAGGAACTGAAAGAGCTCGATGAGAGCAGAGCATGGTTCTTAAGAATGGCACCAAGAGGAAATCATGGACTAGCCTTAAAAGCCCCTGCTTGATTGCTACGGGGAGGTTTTGAAAAATGTACTTATGGGGTCATCCAGGAACTATGCAGGAACAAAACAATATAACTTTATTATGGAATAAATCAAAGGAGCGGTGAACTTTCTTTCCGAGTTGTTTAATGAACCTCTTTGGTGGACCATCTCTTGGGAAAGGGGTGGGGCAAAAGGATCCCAGGCAATTCCCCTCCGGAATATGCCCGCCATCTTTGTTTAACCTTCTCCCGCAGAGACCAAGGACTGTAAATGGGAGAGTAGGCTGCTACTCCTTGGAAGGAACGTATCATTGAGAGCTTTTGATAAAGCATAGACTTCCACAGGAACTTTACACAAAGTACAGGCCAGTGATGGCGAACCTTTTAGAGCAGTGGTTCTCAATCTTTTTTAATGCCGCGACCCCCCAACCGGTCGTAAGTCGAGGACTACTCAACCGGTCGTAAGTCAAGGACTACTCAACTGGTGCAGCACCGTTTGCAGAATGGGACTTTTGGCAGGCTCAGCAGGGCAGAGACAGCCTGGACAATTCCTATTGGCTTTTGAAAGCCAATAGAATTAGACTCTATTCAAGAGAGTCTATTCTATTTGCTTTCAAAAGCCAATAGAATAAAAGGGAGTAGCACAGCTAAGGAAAAGGGGAAAAAAAATGGCGGACTGCGTTGTTTGGCGACCCCCGTGAAATGGTCGTTCGACCCCAAATGGGGTCCCGACCCACAGGGTGAGAACCGCTGATTTAGAGACCGAGTGGCCAAACTGCAACCCAAAACCCACTTACGTATCGCTGGGTGGCTGTGGCCCACTGGGTGTGGCTATGGTGGGACCTCGGCGAGTTAGCGGGCGGCTGGTTGAAGAGGATGGTTGCCATCTCCAGGGCATGGCGCGCGTGCCCACAGAGAGGGCTCTGAGTGCTGCCTCTGGCACGCGTGCCATAGGTTCCCCACCACTGGTATAGTCAGTCCTCGGCTTACGACAGTTCATTTAGTGACTGTTCAAACGGCCCTGAAAAAAGGGACTTATGACCGTTTTCCACGCTTACGACCGTTGCAGCATCCCCATGATCCTTGTGATCAAAATTCAGACGCTCGGCAACTGGCTTGTATTTATGACGGCTACCATGTCCCGGGATCAGGTGATCCCCTTTTGCGATCTGACAAGCGGTCAATGGGGAAGCCAGATTCACTTAACAGCATTACTAACTTAACAACTGCAGTGATTTGCTTAACAGCCAAGGCCAGAAAATGTCATAAAATGGGGCAAAAATGCACTTAACAACTGTCTTCCTTAGCAAGATAAATTTGGGACTCAAATTGTGGTCGTTCAGTCGAGGACCACCTATATCAGTGTTCCCCAACTTTTCCAGGTTGGTGGCCTAGTGCGGGGGGGGGGGGAGGAAGGAAGAGGGGATGGTTTTGTGCAAGGGGCAGGCCCACGTGCGATCCACCCACACACTTCATTTGCATGAGTGGCAGATGCGAGTGGGGTTGCAAGCACAGGCGCCCGCCGCTGGTGAGTCAGGCTGCATGTGCGCGGGCCCACTGCCCCCAAGGCTCAGTTGCAAATAGCCCACAGCCCAGTATTGGGGACCTCTGACCTATGTCCTGTGAAAGAAAGCAGGTTTCAGTTGGGTATTACAGGACAAGCAACCCCACAATAAGCAGTGGCTGCTTATATGAGACCCTCTTTCAAACTTCCTCATCCTGATTCAAGCAATTTCTCCATCTAGCCAAGGAAGGCCCAACTGGACCACCCAAGGCCACCTTGGTTTCCCAAAAAGTCTCACTGCAAAAATCCTATCAAATACTACTTTTTTCATGGAGATGATTGTGAAGTTCTCAAGTCACACGTCACTGTTTAATGCCAAAGCAATCTTATTTCATTCTTCGATAAAGCGGCTAAACTAGTAGACCAGCGAAATGCTGTGGATGTAGTATACTTAGATTTCAGTAAGGCACTTGATAAAACAGACCACCACCTACTCCTTGGTAAGGTAGAAAAAGGTGGAATAGAGAACATGGATCTGTAGCTGGCTGACAAACCATACTCAACGAATAGTCCTCAATGGCACTACATCCACATGGAGAGAAGTAAACAGTGGAGTACCATAAGGTTCGGTCTTAGGCCCAGGAGTCTTCAATATATTTGAAGGGAATTGAAAGGGAACTCATCAGATTTGCAGATGACACCAAGCTGACAGGAGTAGCCAACACCCCAGAAGACAAACTCAGGATCCAAAAAGATCTTGACAAACTTGAACAAAGGGCCCTATCCAACAAAATGAGTTTCAGTGTGGAGAAAAGCCAAGTTTTACATTTAGGCAGGAAAAATCAAAGGTACAAGTACAGATTGGGCGAGACCTGGCTTAAAAACAGCAACTGTGAGAGGGACCTTGGAGTCCTAGTGGACGATCACTTGACTATGAGCCAGCAATGTGCAGCAGCAACCAAAAAAGCTAATACAATCCTGGGTTGTGTAAACAGAAGCATAGAATCAAGATCACGCGAAGTTATTAGTACCGCTTTATAAAACCCTAGTAAGACCATACCTGGAATACTGCACCCAATTTTGGTCATCATATAACAAAAAAGATGTTGAGACTTTGGAAAAAGTTCAGAGAAGAGCAATTAAGATGATCAAAGGCCTGGAGACCAAAACATACGAAGAACGGCAGCAGGATTTGGGTTTGGCTACTCTAAAGAAAGGAAGAAATAGGGGAGACATGATAGAAGTGTTCCAGTATCTGAGGGGCTGCCACAAAGAAGAGGGGGTCATGTTATTCACCAAAGCACCAGAGGGCAGGACCAGAAACAATGGTTGGAAACTGATCAAAGAGAAAAGCAACCTGGAGTTAAGGAGAAACTTCCTGACAATGAGGACAATTAACCAGTGGACAGCTTGCCTCCAGAAATTGTGGGTGCTTCATCATTGGAGATTTTTAAGAAGAGACTAAACAATCACTTGTCTCAGATGGTATAGGTTCTCCTGCTTGAGCAGGGGGCTGGACTAGAAGACCTCCAAGGTTCCTTCCAGCTCTACTGTACTCTACTCTACTCTACTCTACCCTACTCTACTCTATTCTACTCTATACCCTACCCTACCCTACACTACCCTACCCTATTCTAATACATATAATAAATTTGCATTGAATTGCATTGCAGCAAAAAAAAATGAAAAGAAAGTGCCCTGGCATAAATTCCATGAACCAGGCTAACATTTAAATAACAAGGTCTTCTCTGGTCATCCTCAACTTCCTGGGTCTCATCACTTCATCACCTGTCCCCCAGTCCTTTATCGACGGAGATGGCATGGGTTGAGACTTGATCCTTTCAGAAAGCCCAATGGCCCTTCTCTCCTATCCCATAATAGGGGTGGAGCCCTGATTAGAGCTTTGAGCCTTCCGAGATTCATAATTTAAACTGGGACTCTGAAGACCAGAATTTGCTAGACCAGTGTTTCCCAAACTTGACAATTTTAAGGCATGTGGACTTCAACTCCCAGAATTCCACAGCCAGCAACGCTGACTGTGGAATTCTGGGAGTTGAAGTCCACATGCCTTAAAATTGTCAAGTTTGGGAAACACTGTGCTAGACTGAAGACCAAATCCCAAAAGTTCCAAGCAGGGCAAGAAACGAGCCCAGCGGTGACTGCAGTCACCCAAAGGACGAGCACTTTCGTGGGGCCAAAGGACACCCTTAAGCCTCATGTGGATGAAAGGATGAGGGCTGCAGAAAGAATGGGGCCATGTGTCACATAGGTGGGTGAGTTTCCTCAGAGAACTTTTAGAAGTCTGCCTGGTTTTGTTTACTGAAGATATGCCTATTTTAAGGCTTAAAGTTCAGCTTTCATCTCTTTCTTCGTAATGGAACAAATCTGGTACTTCAAATTTTCAAACAATCATCACGGTAAAGCTGCACCGTATAATCTATTTCACCAAAGTCCTTCAGAAGAGCTCTGGCATCTCAGCTGGGGTGCATCAGGCATTTTATTCTCTTTTCTGCTTCAGGATCCACAAGTATATTTTTAAATATCCATTTCTAAAGCAACATTGCAGCTTCTTCCTTGAAATCCTCAGTGTGATGGCCCAACTTCGCTTCAGATTTGACATGGTTTTCAGTACCATAAAATATATATTATCCATTTTACTACTAATGCAGTTTCTTTGCAAGCTCATGTTCAAATCCCAAAAAGATTCTTACTAAAAAAAAAAAAAAACCCTTGATATTTATGACTTGTCCCCACAGTAAGGAAAAAAACAACATTTTCTGCTATTTGAAAATTACATTATTTAGTTCAACAATCACATACAGCTCTTCTCACCCCGGGACAGAAGGCAAAAATTGACTCTGGAATCCAAATTGTCATTATTCTCAATACTGTCGTTGCTCAACCTATAGAGATTCCGTCTCTTGCTTTGTTTGTTTGCTCCGATATCCCCACCAGCAAAATCTATTCTTACCAACCTCTTTTATTCAGTTCCTGCCATATAATGCTAGGATCTTCGGAAAGCTTAGGAAGACTTTCATGTATTTCTCCGATGAGTGTGAGAGAATCCTGAAAGAAGGAAAAAAGAAGGGTGAGAGACCTCCAATTCAGACTATCTGTCATTACCACTGTTAACAAATTAGTTTATTTCTTTGATTTTTGTACCACCTTTGTTACCTGTATAAATAATTCCTGGGGGAGAACATACATAATATTCTTCCCTCTTCCTATGTTCCCTACAAAAACAGTCCTGAGTGGGTTGGGCTGAGAGTGATTAGCCCAAGTCACCCAGCTGGCTTTCGTGCCTAAGGCAGGACTAGAACTCGTCTCCTGACGATTGGCCCAAGGCAGTGGTGGCGAACGAATGGCATGCGTGCCAGAGGCGGCACTCAGAGCCCTCTCTGTTGGGATGCACGCCATGCCCTGGAGATGACAACCATCCTCTTCAACCAGTCGCCCACTAATTCGCTGAGGTCCCACGTGGCCGGATGCATCCCAGCACCCATGCGCTCGCTGGCCTCTGTGTGCGGGGGCCGATGGTGTCAGGCAGCAGCTGCCCCGGCCCCTGTCTCACCTTGTCCTGTGACAATAGCACCCCCGCCCTGCCTCGCCTTGCCTCACCCCACAGGACAAGCTTCCTGCCCACTGCTCCACCTGCCAGAGACGCCCTGGATCTCCCCCAATCCTGCCCGGCCCCCACAGGCGTCCCTCCCCAGAAGCAACATTGAGCTGGCCATGTCCATCCATCTGCCATGACCACCGTAGCCACACCCAGCTGGCCACGGCCACCCGGCGGGCCACGGCCACCCGGCACCTGGCGATACGTAAGTGGGTTTGGGGTTGCAGTTTGGGCACTCAGTCTCTAAAAGGTTCGCCATCACTGTCATAGCACAACACAGCACAGTGTAATACAATACAATACCATACATCTGCTTTTGTAGATATATTCTGGTTTTTGCTTACTTTGGTGTACATATAGTCTTCCAGTTTCTCTTGAAGCAAAACATTGTCTAATATAGTTTTCTTTCGACGGAGAAATTCAACTTCTGCAAACTCTGCTCTTTTCTTCATGCAAAAGGGGCATTGTGAAGGTTGGTGCATTTTAGTTTCTGCTATCTTAAAGGGAGACAGAATTTAAAAGATATTTGTCAGGCCTCCAAAACCCCAAAATGGCATGTCAGGTTACTTCTGAGGGTTTTTTTCTTTACCGTCGTTTGCCTACAGACAGAATCTTGCCGGACTAAAGCAGCTATCTGCATAACTATAGATATATTCTGTGAATTGCTGGGGAAGGATTGACTTAGCCCTCTTTCTGCCTACCAAACATTCCAAGCTCCGCTGCCCCTTTGCCCTCTGGGGGGGGCAGCCCCTCCCTCCTGGGACTCCAGACTACATTCCACCACACCGTCTTCCTTAAAAACAAGAGCATGGCTAACATCTCAGAAGAAAGCATGCAGGGGACCAAGGCAGCCTTTTATAACCTGATAAGCTTTTTTCCAAAATGAGCTAAATAAAAAAAAAACCTAATTATTATTTTTCCCCCAGGAGATTGCCTTTATTTCTCCCTTGCAATAGCTTCTCTAGCAGCAATGTCATCAATTTACTTAGCCGTATCTTTTGGAATCATCATACTGCAACTCCTTCCTTCTGTCAATAGGTATTTTAAAACTCAGCTTCTTAAAAAGAGAAAATCAGGTAAAGAACTCCAGCAGCCAGCTTGATTAAGGTTGCACTGACCAGGAGCAAGCGTCATTAAATGTAATAAGATTTACTTCTGAACAAACATGTATCGCATTACATCGGAAGAGCATCACATTATAGCTATAGTGCTTAAATCATTTTAGATTGAGAGAAGGGGAGAGTGCATATTACTCATCTCATTGATTCTATCCCATAGCTGTGAACAAGCAGCCACTGGGAAGAAAGATAAGCCACCTTCTAAGGACTTTCCATCACCTATAACTAGGCATAAGCATTTCTTCTCAGGGTTAATTAGCAGGACTTAGAAAATTATGATGAGACTATTTTTTTTTTACTTTCTTTTCAAGACCAACTGCCCTTTCTCAACCTCAGCTTCCTCATTAGTAAAATGTCTTCCTTCTGCAAGCAAAAATGTAGAACAAATCCTCATTATAATGATGGTTTCAGTTAAAACTAACAACAGAAACACTTGGAGATTCTTAACTGTATGTGAGAACCTAACTATACTTTGCAAAATCATGTCACCGCTAACAAAAATAATTTGACTGACAAAAGAGCCTACTTCTTATTAGATGAAACATGCACGCACAACAAACGTTCCTTTTTGAAAAATCAGCATCTGAAGAAATCTCCTGCCATACCGAGGCTAATCTTCTGTTGCAAAATAGCACAGAATCTTGCAGGGAGAAAATATTATTTTTTTTCTTTATATTATAAGATTAATATGACTCCCATGCTAAATTTCAGAAGAGGACATTCTCCTGTCAGAATTATTATACAGAGACTGGAGTCCACTAGGGCCAGCCAAATTTTTATACAGGTAGTCCTTGACGTACGGCCACAATCGAGCCCAAAATGTCTGTTGCTAACCGAGACCGTTGTTCCGTGGGTTTTGTCCCCTTTTATGACAGTTGTTCAATGAACTTGGCTTCCTTGTTGACTTTGGTCGTCAGAAGATCGCAAAAGGGGATCGCGTGACCTTGGGACACCGCAACTGTCATAAATACATGCCAGTTGCCAAGTGTCTGAATTTTGATCATGTGACCGTGGGGATGCTGCAACGGTCGTAAGTGTGAAAAACAATCACGAGTCACTTTTAAGTTCGGTCATTAAACAAATGGTTATAAGTCAAGGACTACCCGTGAATAACAACAAGGAGCACTTGGCTTTCCCTCCCCCCTTTAATCGTTTGGAAAAAGGTCCTGGTTTCAGCACCTGTTTCATCATCTCCTTGAGACTTTTCAGATGAAGCCTCTTGACCAGCTCAGAAGGGACCGCACAGTCGTCACCTCCCGTCAGCTGCCTCTCTGAAACTATGCTAGGCCTCTGTTTCTTAGGGCTGTTTCTTCTCAGTGGCTCTGACATCCTCTGACGATGAAGATGGCTAATCCTGCTGGCACAGAAGGACTGCAGAGCCCCCAGTTCTTCTTCAGATCCTTCAAAAATCCCTGGAAATGCTTCATCAGAAAAAAAAAAAACAAAACCAAAACAGAACAAAACATGAGATTACTATCCAGGGATGAAAAAGTTGCAGCTGCCAAAAAGGCCAACACAGTCCTAAGGCTGCATTAACAGAGGGATAGAATCAAGATCACGTGAAGTGTTAATACCACTTTACAAGGCCTTGGTAAGGCCACACTTGGAATACTGCATCCAGTTTTGGTCACCACGATGTAAAAAAGATGCTGAGACTCTAGAAAGAGTGAAGAGAAGAGCAACAAAGATGATTAGGGGACTGGAGGCTAAAGCATATAAGGAACGGTTGCTGGAATTGGGTATGTCTAGTTTAACGAAGAGAAGGACGAGGGGGGACATGATAGCAGTGTTCCAATATCTCAGGGGCTGCCACAAAGAAGAGGGAGTCAAGCTATTCTCCAAAGCGCCTGAAGGCAGGACAAGAAGCAACGGATGGAAACTAATCAAGGAGAGAAGCAACCTAGAACTAAGGAGAAACTTCCTGACAGTGAGAACAATTAACCAGTGGAACAACCTGCCTCCAGAAGCGGTGAATGCTCCAACACTGGAAGTTTTTAAGAAGAGACTGGACAGCCATTTGTCCGAAATGGTATAGGGTTTCCTGCCTGAGCAGGGAGTTGGACTAGATGACCTCCAAGGTCCCTTCTAACTTTATATATTCAAATTCAAAGTTTATAGTCATATTTCCAGTTACCAGGAATATGATGGGGGTGGTTGTCACTGTACAGGTAGTCCTCGAATTATGACCACAATTGAGCCCCAAAGTGATGTTGCTAAGTGACACATTTGTTAAGTGAGTTTTGCCCCGTTTTACGACCTTCCTTGCCACAGGTTGATAAGTGAATCACTGCAATTGTTAGATGAGCAACACGGTTCTTAAGTGAATCCAGTTTCCCCCTTGACTTTGCTTGTCAGAAGGTCGCAAAAGGGGATCACGTGACCCTGGGACATACTGCAACCATCATAAATGTGAGTCAGTTGCCAAACATGTTAATTTTGGAGATGCTGCAACATTCGTAGGTGTGAAAAACAGTCATAAGTCAGTTTTTTCAGTGCCGCTATAACTTTGAACGGTCACTAAATGAACTGTTGTAAGTCGAGGATTACCTGTATTGAAAAACTTACAGCAGCACTTGCATTTGGGGTCAGCAATATTTACAAGAATCCAGAACAAAATAAGAAACTCCTTCAACAGTAGCAAAGCAATAACCTCTTTACCAAAAAGGAAAGTTAGGCTTTTGGAAGAATAAAAAGGATTTGATTGCAAATTTGTCGTTGTTAGTTGCGAAGTCATGTCCAACCCATCACGACCCCATGGACAACATTCCTCCAGGCCTTCCTGTCCTCTACCATCTTCTGGAGTCCTGTGAAGCTCATGCCTACTGCTTTCAGAGACTCCATCCAGCCACCTCATTCTCTGTTGTCCCCTTCTTCTCTTGCCCTCCATCTTTCCCAGCATTAGGCCCTTCTCCAGTGAGTCCTTCCTTCTCATTAGGCGGCCAAAGTACTTGAGTTTCAACTTCAGGATCTGGCCTTCTAAAGAGCAGTCAGGGTTGATAATAAAGAGCAAATAGAAACAGGGTAAACTGTGTCACAGAAATTATGCATGATGCAGATGCTGGAGCAGTTCCAATCAAAGAGTTTCCTTTCCTTTTTACTCAAATGCTTCTAGCTTTAACAGCATAGATGAGAAGGGTTTAGAAACTCAGCTTTATAAATGCCAAGTGTTGTGGGCAAGATCATTCGTTCTTAGGAAACAGATTCTACCTAGTCGAGAAATTAGCCTGAATACCGCAAGGTGGGACCTATCTCCCCTTACCACTTCAGATGGCTGATCATCCTACCTTTAAAAACCAGGAGGATTTCCTTCAAATCTTTTCATCTGACTCCTTGGGTGGAAGAATGCCAGAACACAGAGAAGCAATGTGGATGGCAATCTTCCCCCCAGTTTGGACCATGTCTCCAGTCTTGGGGCTACCCAAGCAAGACGTTCTAAAACAGTGTTTCCCATTTCGTGCTTGCTGGGGAATTCTGGGAGTTGAAGTCCACACGTCTTCAAGTTGCCAAGGTTGAGAAGCACTGAGCTGGTGAGACCAAGCATCAAGTGCTCCTGAACCTCACAGCTTTTCACTTTGAAAGCGCTCAAGGGTTTGTATGTTAGCAAAATGGTCAGATTAAAATAAGGGAAATGCCAAAAAAAGCAGTATTATGAAACGGGGGGTCTGTGTTTCAGCCACGTATCGGGAGGAAAGAGGGGGGGCGATTAAGGCCCCCTGATGCCCTAAGCCAGGGATAGGCAACCATGGCCGCTTCATGACTCGTGGACTTCAGCTCCCAGAATTCTTCAGCCAGCATGGAGGAACTACGGCCCCCTCACGACTCATGGACTTCAACTCCCAGAATTCCTCAGCCAGCATGGAGGAACTACGGCCCCCTCATGACTTGTGGACTTCAACTCCCAGAATTCCTCAGCCAGCATGGAGGAACTACGGCCCCCTCATGACTCGTGGACTTCAACTCCCAGAATTCCTCAGCCAGCATGGAGGAACTACGGCCCCCTCATGACTCGTGGACTTCAACTCCCAGAATTCCTCAGCCAGCATGGAGGAACTATGGCCCCCTCATGACTCATGGACTTCAACTCCCAGAATTCCTGAGCCAGCATGGCTCAGCTTGGAAACCTCTCCCTTTCTCCTCAGCGTGGCTGGCTCAGGCATTCTGGGAGTTGAAGTCCACAAGTCATCAAAGAGCCAAGGTTGTCTACCCTTGCCCTAAGCACAGCCCAGCCAGGGTACCTTTCAGCTCTTCCATTGCTTCACTGACCCCAAGTGCTGAAGAGGAAATAAGTGATTAAAAATTCAGTGTTATTCCAAGCCATCGAGCCCCTGCAACTATATTAAATGTAAACTTTTAAAAAAATTATGTTTTTAACATCAAATCTCAGCAAGCAATTTAAGCAAATTATTTACTTATAACCAGGGCAACGGGGGGGGGGGGGGGAATGCAGATTTTCATCACTTTTTAATGCCTTTTTTTAAATAAAATTGTTATAAGGGAAAAATGCAAACGCAAAAAGAAATATTGAAAACTAAAGTCAGGAGTGGCAGTGGAAGAATTCAGGGCGTGCTAGCTTGGGAAGGGGGGGAACTCTGGTGTGCCCCCACTTTCTTCAGTGCCCTGAGGATGAGCTTATTTTATTTAATAGCCCCTTGGTGTTGTGGTTAACGTGCTGGTCCAGAAACTGGGAGAGTGTGAGTTCTAGTCCCGTCTTAGGCACAAAAGCCAGTGTCAGAATCCAATTATATTTCATCTCTAGTTATCGACTATGGAAAACCCCATTTCTGCCCTCTCTGGATTCTGTCATACATGAAGGGGAAGGGGGGTGAACAAAGGGGCTTTATGGCCCTCACTTCCTTCAGTACACTTCAAAGAGACTGGATGTGGATAGCACCAAAAGGACTAAACATAACAATGGGGCCATCAGCTTTCATCTACTCCTCTCTGAAGTCTCCCTTCCACCGGCAGTGAGGGAAAAGGGGGTGGAAATGTAACGCCTGGGATTGTCGCTGGAAAGATGGTGGGGTGGGGTGGGGCTGCTGGAGATCCCTTGAAACCTTGAACCGTAGGGCTTGGGCCCCAGGTCCTGTCTAGAATGCCTGCAACCATTTTCTCTTAATAAAGGATGCCTGTTGGAAGAAATATTCCAAGAGTTCTGTCTTCTTAAGATGCAAAGTGGGGTGGGTCCTTACAGCCAGCTAGGTAACTTTGGGCCACTCACCAGGGGACAGCGAGTTCTAGTCCTGCCTTGGCCATGAAAACTGAATAAGTGACTTGGGGCCAATCACCAGGAGATGCTGAGTTCTAATCCCACCTTAGCCGTGAAAGTCATTTGGGTGACTTTGGGCCAATCACCAGGAGACGGAGAGAGTTCTAGTCCCACCTTAGACATGCAAGCCAGCTGGGTGACCTTGGGCCAGTAATTCTCTCTCTCAGCCCAACCCGCTTTGCAGGATTGTGTTGTGGGGAAGGAGGAGGAATTATTAGACATGTACACATTATTAGATATCTTATCTGTTGGGTGAGGCACCCGGTTGACCAAATATAAATCAGTCTGTTCTGTGTTTCGCTCCAATCTAGGAGCATGTTTTGCAGGCAGACCTCACATACTGTGAACACTATAAATTCAAAATTTGTTGCTGGCAAAGAGTTAGTGGGCGACTAGTGTAGATATATTCACTGCCTTGAGTTACTTACAAAGTACTAACATCAAGATAATAATAAACAAACAACAGATAAATAAATGAATAAAATGAATGAATGAATGAATGAATGAATGAATGAACGAATGAATATTTAATGGAGGGTTGGGCAGGAGGGCTAACAGAACAGAGTTACTTATTTGAGGGACTTGAACAGTGAGGACAATGAACCAGTGGAACAGCCTACCCTCAGAAATCGTGGGTGCCCCATCACTGGAGATCTTTAAGAGACTGGACAATCACCTGTCCCCACTTAATTGGGGGTCTGGTCTAGAAGACCCCTAAGGTCCCTTCCAGCTCTATTCTATTCTATTCTATTCTATTCTATTCTATTCTATTCTATTCTAGTCTAGTCTAGTCTAGTCTAGTCTAGTCTATTCTAGTCTAGTCTAGTCTAGTCTAGTCTAGTCTAGTCTAGTCTAGTCTTGTTCTGTTTTCTATTCTATTCTATTCTATTCTAGTCTAGTCTAGTCTAGTCTAGTCTAGTCTTGTTCTGTTTTCCATTCCATTCCATTCCATTCCATTCCATTCCATTCCATTCCATTCCATTCCATTCCATTCCATTCCATTCTATTCTATTCTATTCTATTCTATTCTATTCTTCTTCGCTTGAAAGTCAGCCGGACGCCCATACTTTACAACAACGCAATACAATGTGAACTTCTGTCTAAGGACCTCAAATTCCTAACAGAAGAATCGTTTTTAGGCAGCCATCTCTCTCC